TATAGAAAATGCGTTTTTCTAAAGTACATAAACTTGTGGGATTGACTATATAGTCAATACATCGTTAAAGATCTATACCGAGTTGGCAAGAATTTCAGATCATCGGTTCAAACACTTGAAACAGTATTCAGAACGCCGACTGGCATTCCTGCACTTAAATCCATCAAGAGCAATAAGAATAAGAATTTTTGGTTCCTCGACCAGCGAAGCAATAGAGATAATTATATTTTCACGAGGGAACAATTGAATTTCGATTGCACGACCCTGAAATGCAGATCCCGTGTACAAAGACTTCATCTCTATCAACATTCATTCACCAAAGAGCAAATCATAAAAGAATTGTATATACATACGTACCTACAGGCATTCCGTCGACGATGCTCCATCAATTATTGAGATACACACTGTAGAATAATTGTGTCTCAATAACCTCTAATAAAAAGGAACATTTTTATTTAATACAGTTTATAACAATTTTATCAGACCTGCACACTGTCACCCATTTCATCTCGTTCACCCAATTTTCTAAGGCGTCGATCTATTATGTAATGGGAACGCGATTCCACTAGCCAAATAGATTTTCACTCTTTACCGCGACTAGTTCTCTACGTTCGCTTGAAATTCCAAGGCACTCGCGCCTGTTCGTGACACACCCACGCACGTGCACGAATTCTTTTAGGACAATAGCCACATCGCTTACGCGACGTTGCATGCACGTGCAACGACACTTTTCCTATCGATGATTCATTTACAAGAAAGTGTTGTTCAAGTCTTATTAAAATAAAATAAAATTAAATATAATTAAAATAAAATAAAATAAAATTAAATTAAAAATATAAAATTAAATTAAATTAAAAATATAAAATTAAATTAAGAATATGTAGGATAAAAGAGTACGTTTTTCATAATTCTTAATTATACTATTAAAATGAAACAACGATAATAAATATATGAAATTAAATTAAACGTGTTTATTAGATTTAGATATTAAAAAGTGTCTCATTCTGTCGAAGATCTCAGGAGTTGCACTGTCGTACTACTAGAACAATGCGTAATTTGAATTAGGAACCTGCTCGCGTAGCAGCAGAGCGTCTGTTACCGGTAACTTTTGATTTAAGCGTGCCGCTACTTCCGGTTCGATGTCCGATAACTGAATCGTAAATTTCGCCCTCGCGCGAGTTCGCAGCTCGTAAAGAGGCACGTACGATCACAGTGGCTGTATGTATATTTCCTTGCTGGCTCCTTCGGCTCGCTGATGTGCATCGACCCCACCGGAAATTACACTGCTCTTGCGATTCGCGCCAGTTTTCATTTCCACCAATGCTTTCGATGACAGCGTCGCATGAGAAAACGAGAATAGAATTATATACGATACGACTGAATTTATGAAATATTAAAATGATCGTCGAAAGAGAAAAATTGCACTTTAAATCCGAAAAAATAAAAACGTGTATTCATTTAATGAATTCTATTAAATATCAAATGAAAAATTCATGCGAAGCTTCTTTCAACGAAATAAGAGAATCGATTACTTTGTGTAACTGTGTTTATTGATTTACGAAGAGGGAGGAATACAGGAACTGGAAATTAGCAAAGCGGAGGAAGCGGAGATCTGAGAGCCGCGTTAAAAGAAGCGGACGAAGGGAAACACAGAGCCAGCAAAATGGAACGAAGACGGTTGAAAAGCGGTTCAAAGGCGGTCGTAATTATTTTTTCAACACACAAACGAGCACGAAAGCGAACCGTAGAGACGAAAGGGAGAGGAGTAGAGTGAATTATTAGCGGACACACGCGGAGGTCAGCGATGTGCATCCAAGTGTCCGCTGACACAGCCTAGCCCCTTTACCTCTCGATTTCAACGTGTCTCCAGATAGATAAAAATTCTTTAAGATACGTCAAAAACATTGTCGAACGACGTTAAGATCCAGAAATATTTATCTTCTATCAGGAAGCGTAGAATTTCATTTCCTATCCAGTCTTATATTGCTCGCTCGGATACGATCAACGTTAACGACGTCGACTTTACATAATCGTGGCGTTGCACACGGCAGTAACGTTAATTGCGCAAGGGGCCATAATAAAATGTATCGAAAACTGTCGAACACGCATGCAGGGAAAGCTTACGAGTTCATTGTTCCGAGGAGGTCGGTTCGGGCCAATTACGCCTAAAAACGCATTACACACCGCGACGCTTAATCGTCTAATTAGCGGGAACGGTATGGGCCGCGCGATTAACGTTGCGCAACGGCGAATAAAAATTTGCTGAAACAGTGATTCACGCGAAGCCGATCACGGTCCTCGATTCACTCGACGCGGAAATTTTGCGTGCGGTACTAACACAAGTTTTCGTTCATAGCGTGCGAACGAATAATTTGCTACTTTTACCATGTGAATGGTTGTTCTTGTGTGAACACGAAGTGAAGTATGAAAAGCAGGTATAATTTCAGACATCGCAGAATTCGTTTCGTAATAATAATTATTTACTTAACTGATTTTTTAATATGTACTTCTTGCGTTCTTTTTTCTTTTGCAAGGAAAGAGCTTAAAGTGTCACGGCAATGGCTAATGAGTTAGAATTTGCAAGCGTATTATTCGAAAGTTTCACGTAACCCACCCGATTTATTGTGATGGAGAGTGCGTAATTACTATGCCGGCGCTGGCCTGCCACCGACTGAGGTGAATAGTAAAATGTTTGCTGCTTTTATCGGATAGTAAAACAGAGAGTGATTGACTGTGCGATCGTAAATGAAAATTATGGTGAAACACGAGCTAACAGGCATTTGTAGAATCCCTAATTTGCAAAACGCAATGATAGTATCTAGCATGCCAGGCAGCTTCACTTAAGAAAGAATGATTAGTTATTTATTTTTTTAACATTCTACCCACGAGGAAGATAACGATTGAAATAATAATTGGACCATCTGGTGTCGGTTTTACAGCTGCAGAAAAAGCAGAAGCCGTAAATCGGGGACAGGACGCGTTCTTACGCCACTGAGGCGCCAGGATTAGACAAACGGGAATACCTACAGGTGAATAGTGTTCAGAATGAAAAGGAACAGGTTCAGCAAGAAGGGGTCCATCGTGTTCCCGATTCTATAATTCAATCCTACTTCAATATTCACGAAATATAATATCAAAATCTTCATGGATATCAGAGTACCTAAATTTCTATTTAAAGCACATTTTGCCAAAAGCGTATCAAAAATATTTTGTATTGCATAAATTCGAACATCTCGCCTTTTAGTTCAATATTTAATTGCCATCTTTAGAGCATTGAACTATGCGAGACAAGCAATCGTAAGGAATATGAATTAAACATTCAGACGACCTTCGACATTATAATTAAAGGGGAAAAAAAGTGATATCTTACGCCAGTGTAAAGAACACCGGTCGAATGGGGTATCAGGTGAAGTGCTGCCACCATAGGAGGAAAATCTACAGGTGAATGAGCAGTCCTGGTGTGCAGGGATCGTGAAAACGAGCAGCAGGTCTTCGTGAAGTAAGAGGGTTGCCCGTCTCTCCCACTTCAGGGCCCGTCGGACGAGTGGTAGGGGATCTACGACGCTTGCGCGCCGACGTCTGGGTCCTGTGACCGATCGCAGCGGCCAGCTACGGGGGCCCAAAGTCTGTTTCCATCGCGAGGGAAGGCCTCGGGTCTGCTCGTCTCGTCAGTCCGCGTTTTCCCGCGTTTCTTTCGCATCGCCGCGACTTTCCACCGCGAAAATCGGTTCATCGCGAGTGCACCACGTGAGCCACCGGATATCGGACGCACGCAGGAGTCGTTTTCAGGCCCCCAGAGGAGAGATCACTGGGTTTACTGTGTGCTTAAGTGTCATGGAGATCTAGGAACGCCAGCAAGGGTGAGTTTCGAACCACTTTTATTCAAAACTAATCGAACAATTAGAAAATCAGGCTTATTTATGTCACGCGACATATAAAAGCATGGATCCATAGATTATCATAATTAAAAATTGCTTAAGTGCGTCGAGAAGAGATCATGTTCCCCGGCACGAAACTTGGGATAAAATTATTCATGGTACGGGGCTTTGTATACGTTAATTATGGGAGATATCAGATATGATGAGGACGTTGCCGTTATGCTGGCTAATAGAGGACTCCCTACGGAAACGAGTTAAGGTCTACGAATTAATTTCATTGAGCATCCCCGGTGCAAATGAGCTCCGTGTAGCCTGTAACAAAGAAGGTGGCTGCCAGGAGCAGTGACCGTCGATTCGAATGCACGATGCGGTGATAAAGTCGCGATAAACGCTTCTAGGCGCCCTTTGTTCGCCCGGTGTTACATAAAGATGCAAACCGCGTTACATTAAACGCTCCGTGGACACCGTCAGACGTCGCGGAATAATTATGCAGTCTAAGAATAATTCTACTCATGAAAATGTAGCAGGTTTGCGGTTTAAAGGTTGCCTGCAATTAAGTGTTTTCCAATGTTCTTTCATTTCAGAGAAATCATTTAAAATCATTTCTTTAATTAAAACTACTGATTGAATGCGATAGACGTTTAAGGACTTTTGAATACTGTAAATCAATTCTAATTTCAGAGACGTTAGATTCGTCATTTGATGATTGTTCGTTAACAATTTTATGTAAAATGATCTGGGAATATGTTAATGAGGAAATTAGCATTTTTGAATGAAAAATTGTTATTTGGGAAAGAATAGTGATTCTGTCGTAGAGGTAACAGATCGAAGGATCGGTTGGGGCATTTGAAATTGTGATTCCAGGCGTGTCCGGCGAGGGGAGGTTGGGACGAACGGACGGACGTGTTCCTCTTTCTTACGTGCGCCTCCGTACAGAATGACTAGTGCTAGACCAGCGGTTCTTAGCTTTTTTTTTTTAACTCAGGACATATCCGAGGAAATCAAGATTTCAAATCCGTCGATTGAAAAATCGTGATGTAAAATTATTTAGGTCGAAATGAATGAATCATTTGAAAATTGTCCGTATTAATTATTTATCGAGGATTCTTCAGTAACGATCTTGAGTCGGTAGAAAATTTTAAGTGGAGATAACCGCGGAACTTTTCTTGGCTGCACGCGAATTTGCGCGAGGAGCCGAAGAACGCTAAGAACCGCAGCCAGAGTAAATGCGTCGAACGAACGCATTGCGGCTAGAGATACATCCTCGGAGGAATCTTAAGTATCCTTTAACCATCCTGGGGCTTCTCCTGCCGGGAAAGAATCTACCGCGTCGACTCCTGAGGAATTATGGCACTGAACACGGGGGGAGCAATTACTGAGATTGGACGTCTTCTCTGAATTTTGTTGAATTTACTAATTGTTAGCTTGAACACTAGCTTCCTATGTAACCCAATATAAAATAGTAATGAACATCTCTTGATAAAATAATTATTTAAAGTACTTCTCAATTCCATTATGCAATAATTTACCTGGTCAACAAATTAATTTACATATATTAAAAAATTCCTATTAAATATATATTAACGTTTATTAATTGGAAATCTATAGTCGCTTAATAAACGTGGCTGAACTCGTCATTCTTTTCGCTGTCCTCCGTTGGAAATCCGAAATTGCCGAAGGTAAACCGCGCCTTTTATTTACATTCAAGTCCCGCAACGAGGATGGACCGTTTACAAAATCTGCGAGTATACCGTCGTGGACCCACGAAGCTCACCGTGCGACCAGGCCACGCGTCTTCTACAGCCGGTTCGACTGCATTTCACGGCTACCCATACACGAGAGTAACGCTACCCACACGCGCGTACAAGTCCCCGGGTGAAACGTTGCCGTCGTGTTGGTACACGTACACACTTTCGATCTCATATGCAAAGCACATGGAAGGAGCGAGACCGGGCTCGGTCTCGCGATCGAAGCCACGAAGCAGAAATGAAACCGTTTACGGAAATAATTGTACGTAATTTAATCGGCAGTCCGGCTACGTACGTTTCGTATTTTAAAAAGGGTTGAATAAAACACGGGGTTTAATTACGACGCCGTGGAAGACGATGAAGTGAGAAAGAACGGACAGGGTGAGAGCGTGAGGATGAAAAGGAACGATCCGACGAAGAAAGGCTCGTAAAGTCGTTGCACCGTGGCCAAGATCCATGATGCTGCGCCACGCGGCGAACAATGGGCTCTGACGTCACCTTGGGGCTGCACCTGTGACGCCTGCACTTGCATGTGCAACGAATCACCCCGCGGAGCGTGCGTTACACGCATACGCGACGTTCGTCGCTCGTCGGAGGCCTGCTCGGTTTCAAAACGACCACCGGATCGAAAATAGCTCGGCTATACGCTGTGCCAAACGCGCGAGGCTCGCCTGGTGTTTATCGAACTCTCGTAACGCGAGCCCCTTGTTGCCACGAACGAGAAAATGCGAAACGGCGTTTTTAGAACGTTTCCAATCCGAATTTATTGCCTGAGAGCGTTTATGTTATATAGTATAAACAGCCTACAATTCCATTGTTCTTCTCTATGGAAAATAATTGAAACGTTGTTGCATGCAATAAATCTCATTCTATTTATTCGCTAAAAGAGTTTTAAGAAGTATTTAAATAGAGATCTGATTTCACTTAATAGGAAAATTGAATTCTCTGTTTGTTTAAGAAAAAAAATCTAAGGATGGAATCGTTGAATTTGTGATAGGACGCAGCTGTGATTCGTGCTATTCAATTATGTAAAAGTTCGTATATAAAAGCTTTCAATAGAGCCTTTACGTAAGTCGAGCACAAAAGATAGCCTCGACAAACATTGATTTGGAAATGGAGTGTAGATTCTATTCATTGAAAATTATCTTTATAAAGAATGCATATAATATGCAAAATAGATCCAAAGTGAAATGCATGATTTATCATATTTAAAGGAATTCCTGTCTCATTATCTAATCTGATGTCACAAATTTATTAAATAAAAAAAATGATTATATTAATTATGATTTTTCATTGAAAATTATCTTTATAAAGAATGCATATAATATGCAAAATAGATCCAAAGTGAAATGCACGATTTATCATATTTAAAGGAATTCCTGTCTCATTATCTAATCTGATGTCACAAATTTATTAAATAAAAAAAATGATTATATTAATTATGATTGTAATATGAACGATTCTGATTAAACGTATGCCTCGAAATAAATAAGAAACGGTTTGAAATCTGCAATATGGTTAATCGACGACATTTTTCGACTTCGATCGACGCGAGACTTTCACCATTTAAAATTCGTCTGGTTCGCGGCGAGTCATCGCTCGGTCGGACCGGATCCAGAAGGAGGCCTCGCTAAATACCTTATTACTTTTGAATTAACATATCGGTACCAAGGTAACAGGACTTCGCTGGAAGCTCGATTGCAGGCTCCTCGCCAGGAGATCCGATTTTTGGGTCAACCGTCTTTCCAAATGTATTAAGACCAGATCATTACTATCCTCGCATAAAAAAAACTGCATTTTATATAGAAATTAATTTCATCATTAAATTTCCTATAAAAATTATACGAGAATTGATAATTAATGACGTTTCCTTTACTTGAGACAAAAGGGAGATGATTTATGATACATGTGACTAATTTTTAACGAAACAGGTGATAATGAGAATGGCTGGAAGTAATGCAAACTCATTGTAAAACGAAATGAAATCGTATAACTTCTCTCCGGCGAGATAAGCGATCCCTGTCAAGCCACTAACGGAGAAAATGGTTGGAAAGAAAAAGAAATTCACGGAAATCAGGACAGACCGTATTGGGAACGCACGTTCCACAAATTCCGCATCTGGTAAACGTTTAAACAAGGACGTATAAATTCGATTGGGATTTTCATCGAAAAAGTGAAACGGCGAAAGAAAGAAAACCGACGGAGAGATACGCGGAAATCCATATGGCGCGATTTTGAAAGGAAGCTAACAATCGTTAGTCGGGACGTTCGCTGGCTCGAAAGTCACCAATTGCGTTGATAGAAACTCAAATGAAAGCTGCTAAGTGAGTAATCAAGCAACGGGAGGATTTCTTCTTGGCCGTCCGTGGGGCGCAACAGGTTTTCTTCTGCCTACAGAAGTCCCCCAGCTGCCGAGCATCGACTATCGATCCGCTCATAATACTTACAAGGGAAACGCTCGTTTCATTAAATTCTCCACGCATTTTTTCACGTCTAGAAAATTTATGACGGATATTCAACTGCCTCGAGATCGGAAAACATTTTAAAAAAAATTCATTTGATTAAACCAAGGAGTCAAATGATTTCAAGGATGAGATTCAACACTCAGGTGACTCAAGCACGAGGTGCACGAACCCATCGCGATTAGAGCAGCCGGGGAACGAATTGTGAAAGACTTAGGAATCTCATTCGACAACCACGACCTCCGATAACTATGTAGCAACTAGAGTAACGGTGGACAATCGTTGTCGTTAAACAGTTCCATTAGAGCGGGACAGTTAGATCGGCTGTTCCACGATTACGATTGCATTAACCTTTTCCTGCCTTCGCACCGCGTCTCTCGTTACCGTCTCGCCCCGCGACGTTCCACTTTCTGTGGAAACGGTAATCGTCCGGGAGAAGAAGAGCAAGATGAATAGAGGGAAACGTCCTTGACGTTACCGTTACCACAAAAAGCTGATTAAGTCAGCTTCATGAAACGTTCACGGCATGGCCGATAGCTTCCGGGTCAATTCAGAAATTTCTACGATAATACAAGATGGATTTTAATCGACGTGTTTAATCAAAACTGTCAGATTTTCACAATGAAACACGTTTTACAGAATTGATGGAATTCAACGTTACATAAAGTTGAAGTCTGACGATTTTATTACGGAATTCTGAAGCTCCTTGAAAACTAAATCGTTTTTTAAATGATATAGGAGGTAATTACACGAGTAACGAAACTATCATCAA